GGCAATTACTTCCTGACTTAGGTTTCGTGGTAAAGAATGAGTATCGAGTATTAAAGATCAGTAGCAGATCTAACACAAGTAGTTGCTGATCAATCAAAATCAGCCCAAGCCCTTTGCCTGTGACCCTACTGCTGAATAATTCATTATGCACAAATCCTTTGAGATGTTCACTTGTGTGCAAGGAGTTATATAAGCGTAAGCAAAGCCTCTGGCACTCGACGCAGCTTTGCCCAGGTGACTCGAGTATCTGATAAAATAATAATAGTCCTTGCGCTCGATCTACTACCTTTCGCGCCAAAAAGGATGTCGTAAAGGGTCTCGCGGGATTTGCCGCAAAGCACGGTGACCGTGGATTTTTCCAGACAAATGCGACGAATTGAGGCACAACGTCCCACAAACAGCCGTGTACTAAACGGTCAATTTTATCTGGGAGTGATTGATGAAGATATTCTTTTCTGAGTAGAGCCATGGGAAAAATAATAATAGTAATAATAATAATAGATCGGTCAATTCAATCCGCGGCTGTTTGTGGGACGCTGTCGTGCGCAATCGGCTGCCGCGTTTCGCCCACGAAATATACAGTCGATTCACTTTACAGCGCATCTATCCTGTGAAGCGCTTTGAGACGTCTCGATCACGTGATAAGGCGCTATATTAAATGCAAAGATTATAGTTATTGTCTTTAATACCTACTCCTCTTCGACCACGCCATCAGTCACCTTCCCCTTCCCCTCCCCTCCCTTCTCCCTCCCTGACCCCAGCTCGGGTCCGAACTGCTGTACACTGTCCAGCGCCTTGGGACGTCCTCCCGACGGGAAAGGCGCTATACAATTGTAATCGTGTGTTGTTGTTGTTGTTGTTGAACAGGTAGACAGGGCCTCAGTGTAAGATCCCATCCAAAGGCACCTCCAAAAATGCATCGTTCCCCCAACACTACACTGGAGTGTCAGTCTGGACTGTAGATTCAAAGTCCTGCCATGGGGCTTGAACCCGCAAGCTTTTGAACCCACAACCACCCTATTAACTAGGGCTTTGGCTCGCAGGATTAACAATGTATAATATAATGATAATAATCCTTGCATTTGATACGGCGCCTTATCACATCTTCGAGACGTCTCAAAGCGCTTCACGGGATTCACTGTAAAGTGAATGGACTGTATATTTTGTGGGTGAAACGCGGCAGCCTTTGGGAATGCTGGCGGACGGCTGCTTGGAGATATAGCAGCTTCTTAATGCAGTGGGGAGAGTGTGCACCTCGCAAGCCAACGTTTTTCCTTTGTCTCCTGTGAGGGGAGGAGAAGAGAAATCCAATTTTTTTTTTTTGATCGATTTCCTCTGAGAGGAATTCTGCGAATGAAACGTTCCACTGCGCCTGCCAACAGTTGCACAGCCATTCCAGCACAACAAATTACAATATAAATTGCCCTTAAATCATCTTTAATCCGTGGAATTAGAGCCCGATGTAGAAGCGCTCAATCAGTTTAGTGGAGATTAGACAGCATGAGGCAATTCCAGGCCATTTTGAACAATGCCACAAGCCTTCAGCTGTTTTCGACCGGTTTTATCGCACGCGTTGAGTGAGTAGAAGGTGGGAAAAGCTTTTAGAATAATTTACAAACGGCAGCCACATACTCTGGAAGGTATGAAGACATGAAGTAGCAGCATCTTAATGCAGCTGGCGGAGCGTGCACCCCGCAGGACAACGTTTTTCCTTTGTCTCTTCCCCAGCGCATTTACCTTCAATAAACAAAAATTCAAGGGAAAAATGGCCAATTCCCAATTCAGATTTAAACGCAGCGACTGAGACTTTCCGCTGAATCATCTGTTGAGGTTAATTTCACAACTATTCGTTTCCTCAGAAAATTATCTGTTCCACAGCAACAGGCAGATGATTTCTTCAGGTGATTGCGTTGTCAACTCGATAGTCGTCTGAAACCACAAGCTTCTGATGTCGGGAGAAAGAGTTCCGTGCGTTAAGCCAACCCTGAGCCCCCGGGGAGGGAATTAAAGATTCCATATGTATCAACGTTTCTTGGGATACGGTCTCCCAGTGGGAAGCAAACATAAATTTATAAAGGAATGAATTCGTATCACTGCGTGATGACGAGGGGCTATCCTGGCCAGAGTGAGCATTGGGAACTTCTCCAGGCAAATATAAGGAGGCTCGGGTGCTTTCTCACGAGGTGGGGGAGAAAAGTGATACCAGTTATTTGTGCTCCAGCCATCAATCGCCATGAAGCACTGGGAGAGAGAGTTGCTCCAAAGGCCAGAATGGTGTGCGAGGCGGAAGAAACAACAACTTGCATTTATGTAGCGCCCTTCACCCGGGTTAGTGTCCTGGAGCGCTTGCCAGCGGCGGAGTCGGACCCTGAGCGAGGGGGAGAGGGAAGGGGGGAAAGTGGGGGGAGGGGAGAGGGAGTTTTAGCTTAATTTACAAGATTTACCCAACAGCTGAGGATGAAATCTTACTTCACACCTTGGGGTAACGTTTACAGATTGCAACACACGCACGCGCACAGCACATGAGATTCACGATGCAGACGGTGTTCAGCTTCACTTTGATTCTGTGTTGCTTTGCTGGCCTCGCGGGTTGCAAGGTATCAGTCAACACAAGGATCTATAGACTGCTGATGCTCAAGATGTTTTCCTGCAGCCCCTGCAGTGCTGGGGGAATGTAGCGACGATTTGTGGATAGGGATTGTGAACCACTAAACATACGAGAGATAACAAGTATTTTGCTGAAAGATGGAGACAAGTAAATCTATTGTAAAATGATTCTGTCATTGGATAACTCTGCGTAAGTCACAATAAAGTAGAATAACTTCTGTCGGGTAGCTTTAACCGACTCTGAAAAACAATAATAATAATAATAATATTAGTAATAATCCTTGTATTTGATATAGGCAGTGAATTGGCAATTTCTGCACAGGAAAGTCCCACAAATGGAGTGAATGGCCATTTTTATTTGGGGGACCTGTTGGCCAGGACACCAAGATAAACCTCTTTGTCTATTCGAATACACTGCGCTGGAGTGTCAGCTTGCCCTGTGTTATGCTTGGATAATCAGTATTTTATCTATTTCTGTGAAAGGCATAAAATTTCATTGAAATCCGCTGCGCCTGGTTTGTATCAGTTATTCTCGATGGGGGAAATGATGTAACTCAGTAAAAAGTGCCACCAGGCTGCCAAAATGAGGTGACTCAGCTGATCTCTGGTCAAGAGTATTCGCCAGCATTCCCTTGATTTACAGTAACTTCTAGCTTGTGTGCAACGAAGTCTTTTATAATAATAATAATCCTTGCATTTGATATAGACCCCTTTGAGACGCCTCAGAGCGCTTCACAGAAGACGCTGTAAAGTGAATTGACCGGATAATTTGTGGGCGAAGCGCGGCAGCCAATTGCGCACAGCAGCGTCCCCACAAACAGTCGTGGATTGAGTGACAATTATTATTATATATTTTGTGGGGTGGGATTATTACTCCTGGAAAGTGATCCGCCAATCGACTAACAAGCGGGTTCCTACTTGGTAAACGGAGGCGTGTGGAGCAAGGAAACTTGCCTAAGGTTTTGTCCTGTCCGGGAATCAAACCCGGGTCCTCTCGCTTGCGAGGCGAGTGCTCTAACCAATGAGCTACAGAACTCCACAGTCCATACAGTCCATCCGCTTTACGATATACTCAGTGAAGCACTTTGAGACGTTTCAACGATGTGATTAGGTGCTATACCCAATGCAAGGATCAGTGTTATTTTATTATCAGCTCAGTTCTGGAAAATGATTCCAAAAGTTACTTTAGGATTTGTAAGCAGCACTCCGTTTGAAGTTGCCCAAACTTAGCTTTGGTCTTGGCCAAAACATTTAAGAGGAGGAAATGAATCATGCAAAAATAATAAAATACACCAGGACTTTGCCAGCAGCTTTAGAGAGCAACCCAGAGAATCACTTTGGTCAAATAAAGCAGCTTCAGAGGATTGGAGAGGGGGGGGAAATGGAACTGATTGAATTGTATGTACATCATTTTTCCTCCTGGCTCATACTTGGCCACGTACTGTACATCGTAGGTGGCATGGGGTGGGGCGGGGCGGGGGGGGGGTGGGCATTCTCTCTTATCAGTCTGTAGGCAGGCAATTTGATCAAGAGGACAAGGCAGCCCAGCGCAGTCCTGCCATCAGTCCTGTAACTCCGTGTGTTCCTTTGTATCTTTTAACTCCCGCAAGAGATCAGTGAAACTTCTCGACATGTGATGTAAAAATAGCCATGGTACGAATTCAACCAAAACAACCAGATCATGGACTTGACGTCTTGTTCTCTTTCTGAGTTACCCTCCGCCCCACCATGGGAGGTCGCCGCTTTCAGCCACTGAGCCCCGAAACACTCGCCCTCAATCCCTCCGCCTTGCCCCCTCCCTCCCCTCTTTCAAGTCCCATCCGAAAAATTTTCTTGTTCGACCGTGCTTACGGCCACCTCACGCCTCCCCCCTCCCCACCCCGGATTGGAGTCAGGCTCCGCCACTGTTAAGCGCTCTGAGACGCTACCCTGTGTGGAGGGCGTTAAATAAGTGCAAGTAGTTGTTGTTGTCGTTTTGAGTAAGTGAGCCTTCGTGTCTCCGATCCCTCGGAATTATTGGCCTAAAAAAACGTTCGACGTCATTCTTATCTTTCCACACATCACGTAGAATTTTTAAAACCCAATTCCGCACTAAGTCGCGTCCATTAGATTACGCCATCCGACCACCTTCAGAAACCTTGCGGTTTTCCCTCGATTGAGACGTTCTCGAGTTCACGCGGAGCCAGCCCGCAAAAAAATCCCCAAACATCCTGCCGTAGCAAAACAAACAGAGAAGGAGAGAGAGAGGGAAAGGGAAAGAGGTTGCTTTAAAGCCTCCATGACAATGCTGTACTACTTTCCCCAGTAGGAGAGGTCTTGACCTGTTCACTAGTTACATCAGTTAGACTTTGCATGCTCGCTATCCCTCTCCGCCCCTCCAGTACAGGGCTCTATAAATTGGAGCTCCATTAAAAGGCACCTCAGGAGACTGCTTGGATTTTGCAGAGGATACAGTCAGAAAGTCTCCAGTCAGTCAGTCAGTCAAGTCAGTCAGTCAGTCAGAATGAAGCATTTCTTTACATTTAGTTTGGCAGTAGCTGTTGTTTGTGTAACTCTGACTAGTGCAATATCACCTTACAAACAAGTGTTACAACACAGCAGAATCAGAGGCAGGCAGCATGGGTGAGCAACTTTTAAACCACTCTTTAATCCAAACTTTCTCTAACTGAGTTTAAGATTTCTATGCATCTTACTTTTTATTCACTCCCACATAAAGTACCATTTGAATCCACTGTGCTAACATAGAAAGGGAAAGAAAAAAAATTCCTTAGGTTTTCCTTTGATTTGTTAAAATACCGCGAATCGAATAAAACAGAACGCACAAGTCGCTGGGGAAAGAAATGTTTGATGTCATTCTTATCTTTCCCCACATCACGTAGATTTTTAAAACCCCAATTCCACACTAAATCGTGTCCATTAAATTATGCCCTCCGACCGCCTTCAAAAACCTTGCAGGTTTCCCTCGATTGAAACCTTCTCGAGTTCCAAAAAAAATTATTTGTGCTTATCTTCTCTCCAAAGCCAAACACACAGTGGAGGCAGGAGTGTAGAAATGGCTTGGGTGCAATCAGTCGTTTAAAATGACTAAAATGCTGTCCATAATGTCTGGCATTTTTCTTCCGCAGCAAGAATAAAGTTGATGGGGAAGTTTGTAATTTAGATCGGATTTGAAACAATAGTCCCATTGAATAAAGCAGCAGCAGCAGTCAATTGAAATGCTCCTTTGCTGCCTCCTGTAACCGTTTAGGAAAGTGAGCGATTCCTGTTGTGCATTTATTTAATATATGTCTTTCTTTGCAGCCCCAATGTATGTGCTATGCAAAAAGTAATGGGAGTCAACAAGAAGTATTTCACCAACTGCAAACAGTGGTACCAACGAAAAGTCTGCGGTAAATCAACGTAAGTAAGCAGCAAACTGTAACCTCTCCTGGAAAACAGGACCTAAACAGAAGGTGTTTAGTAGGATGTTCTGTTTATTCGTTTGTATTCAGAAAAACACCCTGAAATCATTGCTTTTTTTGTAATCACTGATATGTTTTTTCGAGGTTATATTATAAATAAACCAGCAGAGATTTTTTTTTTAAGCAAACTTTTGATCAATTGCAAATAGTTTTATTTGGAGTCGTTGGCTAATATTGTTGTAATAAGTTAACCACAAAGTACTGTAAAAAGTTGCAGGCTGCATTTTTTGCAAGGCAGGGTATGTGCAAAGGACGTTCAATGGCAAAGTACTGAGTAAAACCACTAAAGTTTGATATCTTGGGAATTGTAATCAAACAAGTTTACTTCAGTGCTGTATTCGCTGCACGCACTTAGCACACGAGTATTAAAAGTGCATTAAGAAACAGAATGGAATTTCTCTGGAGGAAATTAGTATTGATCGTAAAAAGGGTGATGCAGTTGGCAGAAGTAGCGGAAGCTTTGTTAATGACCTGCTGAGTGGCATTTTGAGAGTCCTCCTTTGTGTGCTGGTAGCTGGAAGTTTCCTGGTTAAGCTTGGCTCCAGACGCGCACCACACAAAGCGCGTGTGCCGCTTGCATCAGTGAGCAAAAGAGAAGGCATCTCATCCCGCCCGGTGTTCTGGCCAACAATCCTGCCGATAAAATTGGTCATTCACTTGAAGGCTGTTTGCGGAACTTTGCTGTGCACAAATTGGCTGCCGCGCTCACCAGAAAGAGTTGCACTAACGGCTACACCTTACAATAAATCCTGTTGAAACACTTCGAGATGGCCTTCTGACGTGAAAAGTGCTGTATACAAACTTCTTTGTATATTATTATAATTCCAGTGAAGTTGCTGGCGCTCGTACAGTAACAGTTCCCTTCTTCTGTGCTGTAGACATTCAAGGGAAACCCGTTTATTATAATCCACAACATTTTAAAAAGGACTTGTGGTTTTGCTCGGGAAGCAAATGATGTACAAATACTGCATTCGTGTTTTCTTCAGCAACAAATTTGTATAGGGCCTCTCACGTCAGGAGGACATCCCAATTCACCATAAATGATGGAGCTCTGCATGACACAGTGCACGTTTCTATAAAGCAAGGCCTTTGTGGTGATATTGGTGTGTTGTGTACCCTCCGTTCCTCTGGCTCCGGTCTGCTCCACATCCCCCGCCCCAACCGCCCTACCATCGGTGGCCTTCAGCCTCTCAGCCCCGAGGCTCTGGAACTCCATCCCCCAGTGCCTTCGCCGCTTCCTCCCTTTCCTCCTTCAAGGCCGGTCTCAATACCTTTCTCTTTGACCGTGCCTTCAGCTCCCCTCTCGACTCTCTACCCCCTCCTCGCTCCCTCCTTTCCCTCCCCTCATCCTGACCATTTCCCCCTCCTCGCACCCTCCCTTCCCTCCCCTCACCCTGACCATCTCCCCCCTCCTCGCTCCCTCCCTTCCCCCCCTCACCCTGACCATTTCCCCCCTGCTCGCCTTGGGACGTCCCCCCGACGTGAAAAGCACTCTATAAATGAAATCTTGTTGTTGTTGTTGTGTGTCCATGGACATTTATATATAATTCGTCAGTTGCTTCATGTGTGGTATAAAGAGAATACACAATGAGGAAACATGTGGCAATGATTTAGATCCCACTTGTGGTGATGCCGATAACTCATTGTGAGTCACCCAGACTTTCCACTTCTGGGATTATAAATCAGATCTCTCTGTTTTTCATCACTTATCCCCCGGAGCTCCTTCAAGGAATTGTTTTACACTGGAAAGAAACACGTTAGAGAGGTTACCATCAAGTTATATTTTTGGATAGAATCTTTTGATGTGGTCTCCTATTCCACTCTCTACTTCCCCCCCCCACCACCCTGGTCAAAACTACATCCTCACCCACATCAAATTCCATGTGCCCATTATTTCAGTCCTCATCAGCTCCACTGTCTCCCTGTCTCCGAGGAGATCAACTTTAATATCCTCACAACTTACCTGTAAATTCCTTCGCTCCCCTAGGATCTCTCTCTCTCTCTCTCTCTCCGTGACCTTCTCTTACCCCACTCTTCAGCACACTCCTCTGCTCGGATAACTTGGGCCTGCTGCGTCTGTTAAATTTAATTGTTTAACGTCTCATCTGATGGATGAATAAAGGAGTATTCGAGGGGCATTAGGAGGGGTGGAGGCTACTGGGCAGTCTAGTCACCAGCCTGGACTAGTTGGGCTGAATGGTCTGTGTCTCCCCCTCTCCCCACCCAACCTCCCACACACACACTATTCCAGCATTATTAATAATAATTCATAATGCTTGCATTTGATATAGTGCCTTATCACATCTTTCAGTCATCTCAAAACGCTTCATAGGATTTTGCAGTGAAGTGCAATGATTTATTGTGTATTTGTAGTCATTGTCATTGAATTGAGGACACTTAATAATATGTCACATGATTTAATGCACATTGAAATTTTAGTGACTGGGACATTAACCAGGACATGTTTTTATTTAATTATTATCAACACTTTATTGGACATAGCACGTTGATGCTTTATTGTGATTGTAATAATAATTACTGTCACATGTGATACGGATAACATTGTCTGTGTAGATTGTAAAGAATGCTGAACAGCAATTTTCTAAAACAAAACTGTGTATATTTTGGCTCTGATGTTAGCAGTATACAACCTTGTTATGGGATAGTATAATAAGTTCTACTGTGCTCGCTGGCTGAAAATTCTGCTTTGGCTTGTGCATTCGAATAACTTGAATTGTGCTCATGATCTTAACTCAGTTAAAGGATTAGATGGAGTCTGAGTCAGAATGTCTGGATATTTCAAGCAAATTACACTGTTAAATTAAGCAGAACTAATGAATTAACTCAAAGTACTGTTTAACTGAAACATGAGCTGCCTGCCTTTTAGGAAAGAAATATGAGTTGAGCATGGTTGGTCTGAATATATTGTATGTGGTGATTACAACTTCAGATTGCAAAAGAGCTTTGGGACCTCTATCTTATTGAAATTAGCAAAGCTTTTTCCAAGAACAATTACTAGGTACAAGTAAGCAGACACAATTTTGGAAACTCACTCTGTATTACAATAATAATAATAATAATAATAATAATAATCCTTGCATTAGATATAGCTCCTTTCACATCAAGAGGGTGTCTCAAAGTGCTTCACAGACTATATTGTAAAGTGCAATGACTGTGTGTTTGCGCACAGCTGATAGCCCACAAACAGGAGTGAGTGACTAGTTTTATTTGGGGGATTGTCGGACAGGTCACCTGAAGAAACTTCCTTTATTGAATAGTGCCATGGGACCTTTAATGTCCACCTGAATCAGCAGCCAGGACCTCGGGTTAGCATCTCATCCAAAGGATGCCACCTCCAACGATGCAACACACCCCAAGCACTCCATTGGATTGTCAGTATAAACGATATCAGTAGAAAGGCCCAAAGTAGGGCTTGAAACATTACCTCCTGAATCAGAGGCAAGAGTGCTACCAACTGAGCCAGTCTGCCAACCACGTCAGAAGTGATGAGAACAAGGAAATTCCTTTTCAAGATGATGAATAATTATTTATTTGGTCACTCAATCCACGACTGTTTGTGGGACATTGCTGTGCGCAGTTGGCTGCCGAGCTTTGCCAACAAAATATACAGTCAATTCACTCCAGCGCTTTGGGATGTCCTCCCGACGTGAAAGGTGCTATACGAGTGTAATTTGGTTGTTGTTGTTGCTGTTGTTTACTGTATATTGTATGAAGCACTTTGAGACGTCTCGAAGACGCGATGAGGTGCAATAACAAATGCAAGGATTATTATTATTATTATCCCATATAATAAAGCCATTAAGTTTTGAAAAATCATAGTACCATGGTGCTAGATTCACGAAGATAAGATACATTACAAATTTGACAGCAGAGAGTGCAACCTTCGGAACGCAATTGCACTTGGAACCTGTGTGTTATGTGCTCTTAATCACTCAGTAAATTACCAAGGTCATTTTTTACTTTTATGTATTCATTTGACTTTGCACACTCCAGTGAGGCAAGTTAATCATTAATCTCCTCACACAGTCTGGATCACAAGTCCTGAATTAGTGACAGAAATGAATGGGTCAGATGTTCATAAATGTTATTAAATTCAGGATATAAATAACTTAATGGCACACGTTTACAGCTGACTGCTCCATCTCGGTTTCATTACTTTTCTTTCAGAGAAAGTTAATGGAAACAATTTACTTCAAGACCAGATAGATGTCTTCTCTTATACTCCAGGGAGAACTCTTAATCTCTAAAGTCTTGTAAACTATGATGAAAGCATTTAATTGGGCTTTTAGCTGCCCTACCATAGATTTAACTGCAAATCTGGGCTACAGGGCTGTCATATTGAAATTCAATATTAAAGCAGAGGAAATACTGTCATTCTGAGCGCTCAGAGTAAACTATTGTAAGTGTGGGCACTGTGTGTGTGGGGGTTATGTGAATATGGGTGTCACTAGAACTTAGAATGCGAGTACACCCAACAGGAGTAATAATGTAAGCCTTGCATTTGATATAGCGCCTTGTCACGTCATCAAAACCTCTCAAAACACTTCCCAGGACACACCGTAAAGACTTGTGGACATTGTAGGTGAAACGCGGCAGCCAATTGCACACGGCACTGTCTCGCAAACAGTCGTGGAGCGAGTGACCAATTTTTTTTTTTTTATTTGGGGTAGTCATTGGCCAGGACACTGCGAGAAACTCCTTTCTCTTTTCGAATAGCTTTCCTCGGATTTTTAAGGTCCACCCGAACAGGCAGATGGGACCTCGGTTTAATGTCTCATCCAAAGGACGAGTACTATTCCCAGTACAAGTATTCCCAGTGAGAATACTCCCAGTGTGACTGCAGTATTCCCAGTGAGGGACGGCTAAAACAGATAAGGAGTATTTGCTCGAAGAAGCTCTCTTTGCTTTGTGTTTTGGGGGGATTTTAGCCTTCCAATGGCCAAATACTGTATTTAATCTACTCTTTAATTTAACTAACTGACAACGAGAGACATTCTAGATCGGAGAGCGGGCCAACTGAGGACACAAAATGAAGTTCAGGATGAACTCTGCACTATCCAAAGCCTCGAACATCCATTATCCAGTGACGCTACTTTCATCTGCACATCTTGTTTGAAATGCGAACAGATGTATCTATTTAACAGAATCACTCCGAAAATGTAATAAAGAACTCTTCCCGTGCTCCCTCTTGAACTGTAAATGCTGTATGTTTGCTCGCTCTCCCTCCGCTGAAAGGGACTTAGAATAATAATAATAATCCTTGCATTTGATATAGCACCTGATCACGTCTTCGTGACGTCTCAAAGCGCTTCGCAGAACATACTGTAAAGTGTAGTGACTGTATATTTTGTGGGCGACTTTCATGTCAAGGTGATGATCGGTGCCAAGACGACAGAGAGACTATGGTCAGTTCCTGACGTCATAAAGGTCAAAGGGAACAGTGTCCATAAATGGTTAAAAGTCTCCAATTTCTTAAAATAAATATACGTTACTTTGTGCACGAAACAAAACTTAAATCAACTGCATTGTTTGGGTGAGAGAGTAAAATAATGTCTGCAACCAGTCAACCCCAATGTAACTTTAAAACCCATATAATTGAAATACATTTTTTGGGGTAAATGAGAAACAGTGGATGGGAGGAGAAATGCCCTTTATCATTTCATTATTTTTTTNCTCAAACCAGATGTTTAAGTAAGATGAAATACAGCAGCCTGCTTTAAATTAAAGCAAAATAACCTCTAACCTCGAAGCGAAATCCAGGCAGAGAAAATTAAAGTGGAAATACAAAAGAAGCCGTATCAGATAATCCAAATAATTACGTGTTTACTTGAGAGTGACCTACTTTTTGGGGATATATGATGAGGTGAAGGCCATTCAACTGGTCGTGATTATTCAAATCAGACCGAGTGTTCCTCATATAGATGCTGCTTACCTGCGGAAATGTCCCTGTGTCTGGAATGGAATATGTACACTCTCTCTCCCTGGAGGGACCCACCCCACTTACCTCATTTGGGAAAGGTTGGGAAGAGCCAAGACTTGGGGGGCACAGATTGTACATTCGGGTACTGCTGGAGTTTAATCACATAAAACTGCATAGCTTGCCATTCAGAATACGAGCTTCCTGTTGCTTGTCCAGCGAGGACCGTGCTGTCTATTATGGCTTTGGTTGGTAGGGTTAATATTAGCTGAGTGGGATGACTCCCTGACCACAGTGACTGGTCTGTCGATGGTCCTGCTAATACGCCAGACCGGGGCTGTCATCAGCAGTGCCCTGGAGTACTTGGTAAACCCACCTGGCTCAGCAACCGGACTTCTTAAACCATCGCAGATTATCAAGAACAACAACAGCAAATTACATTTGCGCAGCGCCTTTCACGTCAGGACGACGTCCCGAGGTGCTGGACAGTCAGGGATCCTCACCCGAGCTGGTGGTTGGGATCAGGAGGGGTGGAGGGCAGGGAGGGGAGGGGTAGGAGGGTGACCGAAGGCACCGCCGAAGAGGAGAGTCTTGAGACGGGTTTTGAAGGAGGCAAAGGAGGGTCGAGGGACTGTGGGATGAAGTTCCAGAGGGTGGTGGCGGAGAGGCTGAAGGTCCGCTCGCCAATGGTGGGCCAGGCGAGATGGGGGACTTGAAACAGGTCGCTAATAAGATATCTGACAAGCACAGGCTTGAGCCCTCACGAGGTGGATGGCAGATAGAATGCAACAGAATGCAATGCGCTGCAGCTTTATTTATTAAAATAGCATCTTTTGTGAAACTGGTCTTCATAAAAGTGAAAGAAATGGAGCACTTTAATTTTTTGCACAGGTTGAATTATGCATTTGAGCTCTATTTGCGTTACCCTGTGAAATTATCCACCTCAGGTGTATGCTCATTAGATGTTACTAGTTATTACAACGGACGTGAGATCCAATCTCGAAAGAGCAATTTCTTACTGAATCGCAATAAGCTTCCCACTGCAGCCGTGTTTAAGGCCTTTGAGTGAAATTACTTTTGACGAGTGCCTGCTAGGAATTCAATGAAGAGGGCCAAAAAGTATTTCAAACAGGAACCTTACAGAGAGAGCAAAGAAATGAGTCTGGACTGGTTTCAAACCCTGGCCCCAGAGGTGAAAGGACAGTACGTTAACTGCACTTTGCCACACATTCGAACATTCGGTGTAATAATAATAATAATAATAATCCTTGCATTTTGATATAGCGCCTCATCACGTCTTCGAGACGTCTCAAAGTGCTTTACGGAACACACTGTAAAGTGAATTGACTGTGTGTTTTGTGGGCGAAATGCATTGTTATTATTATTAATAATAATAATTATTAAATAGTTATCAAATCTACATGCCTAGTAGTTTCGCAGTGCATCAGGATAAATGCAGTTGGTGCCACACCTATGTTTGATTTGTTTTCCAGGGTTGTCAGCTATGAATGCTGCCCAGGATATTCCAAAGTACACGCTCAGAAAGGCTGTCCTGCTGGTAAGATGTGACTAATGAAATTCCCCGAGACATACCCTACTTCCCAGTGCGCTATGGAGATGCAAAGTGCTATTGCTATTGTAATAGTTACCAGAAAGTTTCAATCCTTGCATTTGATGTAGCGCCTTATCAGGTCTCAAAGCGCTTCACAGAATATACTGCAAAGTGAATTAACGGTATACTTTGTGGGCGAAACGCGGCAGTCAATTACGCACGACAGCGTCCCACAAGCGGTTGAGGATTGAGCGACCAACTCAATCATTCGCCGAATTATAAACGTTCTAAAATGCTACGTTAATAGAGTAAATTCTGGACTCGGGTCAAATTCTCCCCTTATAGGTTCTTTCCAGGCAGTTCCAGTTGACACAAATGATCCGTTAAGCTGCTGTTAATTTACCAGCCCTCCTCAAGTTTCCTTCAGCGCTACTCTGCAGGAGATCTCCTTGCTGGAGCAGTCTAGCTCGCTCTGCCAATTTCTATTTTTTTTTTCCATTTACTGCAAGGTATTCCCATCTCGTGGTCTGGTGAGAAATCAGTAAAGAATTTGCTGAGTCTCAGTCCACACCTCTGCCAGGCTCCCTGCCTGAAGATTCAAAAACCTCGCAAGAAAAAACCTCTCCTCATCACACCCTTTGCTCGTTTGCAGATTGTCATGATGAATTGATGCCTGCTCGTCACTGACTCACTGACCAGTGGAAATAATTTCCCCTTTTCGACTCTATCAAAACCCCGTATAATCTTTTAAGACCTCGATCAAGCCTCGAGAGATCTGGCAGAAAATAGAACAAAAAAATCACTAAATCCATTAAGCCCCTCCGCCCACAGACCGAGTAACATTATTAGGAACTCAGTTATGCATATAATGTGAGGCCACTAACAGCAATACAATGGAGGGATTTGGAATGAATAGTTCTCACCGAGAGGCTAAGGCAAGTTCTGCACAGACTTCATCCTCTGCACAAAGCTCCACTGACTGCCACCAGCATTTAATGCTATTAAAGAATATTTTTGATTACTCCACGCTGATTTTTGATCCTTTGTAACATCAGACAAACAAGCGATTAATAACATTAGATTAGGATTGAGTTGCTTATTAGGTAACGGTAAATTGCCTTCCCCCCCCCCCCCCCCCCCGCCCCCTCCCGGCTCTGGGTCAGACTCTGCCACTGTCAAGCACTCTGGGACGCAACCCCAAGTGAAGGGCGCTATATAAATGCAAGTAGTAGTTGTTGTTGGTGCAGCAAAACATTGTAGGTTCAAATCCCAGTGTGTGCTGAGATGGTTATTCTCACTCAGGGCAGAAATCGGCTATTACAATTTGCCTCACCACCCGTAGATCAGGGAGGTGAAAATTAGTTCCCACTCCTGAACCATACAGACACCAGTGTTAAAAGGTGTGTGTGTGTGTGTGTGTGGACCTGGGGTGAAGGCAGAATGAAGTTTGACTATGACCCTAAACCTGACAACCGCTGTCAAGATTTGTACGAGAAGAATCATCACTTAACTAAGCACCATAAGATGGCCAATTAATGGAATCTTACACCAGAGGAGAGAAAAAAAGTAGTCAGAATATTATCCCCATCCAAATAGAGGGATTTGGAATGACGAGTTCTCACTGGGAAGCAGAAGGTTATCCACGAATAGAGTTGTTACGGTCTGGAACGCACTTCCTGAAAGGGTGGTGACAGCAGATTCGATAGTAGCTTTCAAAAGGGAATTGGATAGGGACTTGAAAAGGAAACACAATGCAGGGCTCTGGGGTAAGAGCGGGGGAGTGGGACTAGTTGGATAGCTTTTCAAAGAGCCGGGGTGATAATAATAATAATCCTTGCATTTGATACAGCACCTTATCACGTCTTCGAGACGTCTCAAAGCGCTTCACAGAATATACTGTAAAGTGAATTGACTCTATGTTTTGTGGGCGAAATGGGCCAAATTGGACAATGGGCCAAATGGCCTCGTTCTATGCTGTAAGATTCTCTTATCCTTCGTGTGGACTTTACAAACAGGGTAACTGGTTATGAGCAGCAGTAACCCGCGAGTTGATTTCTGATTTCTCTCTCTCTGGGACAGCGGTGGTGAGGTCAATTATAACAAATTTGATACCACGCCATTTGGGATTACCTCATGTTGCTTCTGATGCCATTCGAATGAGTTCATTTGACACGGTGACAAATTATTTGACTGGAATTGGCTTACCATTTAGTTCATTCTTTGCTCGATGTGAATACTGTGCCAGAGAGAGAGAGAGAGTGAAAGAGGGGAAATCAGCCAAGGATCAGCCCAGCTGAAATGTAAAATCTCTGTCCTTTTTATTCACTCTATAGCGTTGCCGATTACAAATATCTACAACACCCTGAGAAATGTGGGATCTTCAACGACTCAACTGTACGCCGATCGAGCCAATCTCAGACCACTGATTGAAGGACCTGGATCTTACACATTCTTTGCTCCCAGCAATGAAGCTTGGTCCTCTCTGTCTGCTGTAAGATCCCGCCATCGCTTCTTACTTTACGCACCACAGAAACCAGGCCCGAACAGGCAAAGCGAAATCCTCAGTGAAAAGGATTTCTTTTCAAAGCAAAAGAAAAATTAAAGCTCACAAATCGGGTTTAATTCATCGCGATTTCGAGCAGAATTCTTTAATTGAGGAATCCGAGCGAATGGGAACTCTTTCCGATAAGTAGAAAGTGTGTCACACTGACTCCCGGGACCTCTGCTCCGAAATTCGATTATGATATAACGGGGGGGGGGGGGGGGGGGGGGGCGAAAAAAAACTATTGCTGTTTCTTACTTATTCACTTGTCTTTTGAATTAAACGCAGGAAATAATAGACGCTTTGGTGAGCAATGTCAACATTGAACTGCTTAATGCTCTCCAATACCACATGGTTGAGAGACGCATTCTCACAGACGAATTGAAGCACGGCACTGTATTGACTTCGATGTACCAAGAGTTAAACGTATACATCCACCACTACCCCAACGGAGTAAGAATAACTTTTGTGTTATTTAATTATTCCATAAAATGATTGCACCCCGAGCTTCCTTCGTGTCACGTTCCTCTTTATCTTTTGCCTCTTCATCACGGAGTCCTGTAGCTCAGCGGTTAGAGCACTCGCCTCGCAAGCGAGAGACCTGGGTTCGATTCCCGGCAAGGGGGCGAAACCTTGGGCAAGTTTCCTTACTCCACACACACGCCTGATAAGAATCCCTCAAGAAAAAAAAACAATACTAAAAATTAGACACTTCAATCCACGGCTGTTTGTGGGACGCTGTTTGCGCAATCGGCTGCCGCATTTCGCCCACAAATACACAGTCAATTCACTTTACAGTCTATTCTGCGAAGCGCTTTGAGACGTCTCGAATATGTGAAAAGCGCAACATCAAATGCCAGGATTATTATTATCTCCAGAAGTTCTTGAAACAAACCTGTCTGTTGATTTTCTTTCCGTTCAGATTGTTACAGTTAATTGTGCTCGACTGATAAAGGCTGACCAGCATGCAGCCAATGGTGTCGTTCATGTCATTGACCGAGTTATCACCGCTATTACTAACACCATCCAGCAAACCATTGACGTTGACGACTCATTTGAGAATCTTAGAGTAAGTACATAAGAACCCGCCTCATTAGTTCCATTCCCGGGTAGGTCGAAACTTTGGGCAAGTTTTCTTACTCCACGCGCCTCTGTTTACCGAGCGATAAGTAGGAACCCGGTTGTTGGTCGATTGGCAGATCGCTTTTCCGGGGGTAATAATCCCTTTGAAATAATAATGATAAAAATTTGTTCACTCAATCCACGACTGTTCACGGGACACTGCTGTGCGCAATTGGCTGCCGCATTTCGCCCACAAAATAATCAGTCAATCCACTTTGCAGAATATTCTACGAAGCGCTTTGAGATGGAAGCATTATTATTATTGTTGTTGTGTGTTTGAATTCACTTCTTTTGTTTGCCTAAAAATACACAGTCACTACACGTTACTGAGAAGTATTTTGATGTTGTGGCCATAAGATGAAGCACTATTTCAAACGTAAGCATTATTATTATTATTATTTTTCTTTGCATCTCCATGAATTTTAGGCTGCGGTTGCTGCTGCTGGACTTTCTGATTTACTCGACAGTGAAGGGCAGTACACACTGTTTGCTCCCACAGATGAAGCTTTTAGGAAGGTACCACCAGCCACTCTGAACAGGATCTTAGGAGACCCACAAGCTTTGAAAGGTAGGACGCAATTGAATCATCCCATTGGCATTACCCACGCAAGACAATGCACACTTTAATGCTGCATTTAGTTTACTGTTTTGTCGCTGATGTCAGATTGCCCATTGGTGGCAGTGCTGTAAAGCAAACCAGGTCTCCACGATTGCCACTGACACACTTTAAAACATGTCCTATGCTGGGCTCAGCTTGTCCTGTGAGCCCCAGCGGCACATCTGCTCGTTTATGTACTCTCCTCGCAAGCGAGAGGACCCAGGTTCAATTTCTGGGTACGGCAAAACCTAAGGCAAGTTTGCTTAATGCACAAGCCTCGGATTATCTAGCAGTAAGTAGGAACCTGCTTGTTAGTTGATATTAAAGCCATTAGTTTCCAGGAGTAATCATCCCTTCAAAAAATAACAAGAATAATTTGGTCACTCAATCCACGACTGTTTGTGGGGACACTGCTGTGCACAATTGGCTGCCGCGTTTCGCCCACACTCAGTGTGTTGAGTTTATCCACCTGACATGGAGACATAGTGAGAGAACGTGATAATAAGGCATACTGTTTATTGGGCAGCAAATGTGTGAAAATCCTTCTCCCTGTTTTCCTTTCACAGCCATGTTGAACTACCACATCTTAAAAAATGTGCAGTGTGCAGAGGCCATTATTTCAGGCTCTCCAATGGAAACCCTAGAGGGCAAACCCCTAGAGGTTGGCTGCATCACTGACAGTATCACACTCAACGACAAGTCGATCGTCACCGACAAGGATATATTAGCAACAAATGGAGTTATCCATAAGATCAATGAACTGCTGATCCCGGACTCCGGTAAGAATTGGAGCACGGATCCTGACAATTTTCTTGTGATGTACGTTCTGTCAAGTGTACCGTTCACGTCTGACTTTTAAAGTATACTCACCCTTTCGGGAACTCCCGAATCAGCAACATTTCAGCCATTGGGTTAATTTTTTACCAGTTAACAGATCGCCCCTGAAGACTTTACTCTTCGACCATGCCTATAGACACCTCCCCTTTCCGGCTCAACACAAAACTATGTTATTAAGCGCTCCCGAGATCCTACTACCCATGAAAGGTGCAAGTTGTTCTTGCTGCTGCATTTTAGATGCCATCAACCATCAGTGTTGAGGAAGGGATCATGCAATATTCATGTGTATCAATGTTGGGTTTGAATGGAATTAAAATAATTGTGCCATGTCATCGCAAACTAATAAAAAAAGAGTTTATTGTATTAAATTAGCCTCCCCTCCCCGCCCTCCACCCCTCCTGATCCCAATCACCAGCTCGAGTGCAGATCCCTGACTGTCCAACGTTTTGGGATGTCCTCCTGATGTGAAAGGCGCTGCACAAATGCAATTTGTTGGTTGTTGTCACGACCTCTTTAAACGTAATGGTGAACTTTCACTGATGTGGATGACGCTGTATCAAAATTCAGGATTATTTTTATTCTCATTAAACTTGTCCCACTTTTTAAGGCAAGCGTTTGAAATAAGCGCAGTTGTTAACGCTTTGCTCTGAATTATCCGAACTGTTTCGTAGCTAAGACCCTCCTGGAATTGACTGAGAAATCCAGCGTCACCAAGTTCGCGAATCTCTTCAAACAAAGCGGCCTGATCTCCCATTTAGAAGGAACAGAAGCTGTAACTCTGCTTGCTCCTCAGAACGAAGCGCTCCAAGGTAAACCTTCTCTGTGAGCTAGTTATACTTTGAAAGAAACTCAAATCGATCTGTCTGATTTTTGACCAACATTCAGCCGGTTTGGTACTGCCTTGAAAAGGAATCCAGGAAAAGGGTAAATTCACAACGTGACTGCGTACGTAATGTCTTCGATTTTCAGCTACACGAAGGAAGCAAAGTACTGATTTGAGCGATGCAGAAACTTTAGTGGCTGTTTCTGGCAACTAAACCTAAAACAGAAGGGATTAAAGGAAACTAAAGGTTTTCAAATTTGTGCTGAACTACCAAGAAAATTTAAGTCACCTACTTTGTCTCTTCCTACGAAAATCCTTCACTTACCGCGTGTTCCCAGCGACTTCTGATTCTATTTCAGATTTCCAGCCTCTGCAGTATTTTGCCCTTTTGTTAAAAGGAGTACCTGTTCGTTACGCAGTATAGAACGCAATGGAATTTCTGATTTTGCAGTGCTACGAGTGGGCCAAATAAAATATTGAAAAGAGATCTTGTTTTGAAAGGAGCATTCCGATGTGAAATTGTACACTTGACCTCAAATGAGAAAAAGCTTTGGGTTCTGGCGTCCCATCAGAGTAAGCGATTCTCTGGTTTGGTAATTTGAGTGCTAGAGTTTGGATTAAGACTCACTGAAAACTCCTTCTCCTCTCGCTGTTCCTAACTACAGTAAACGCCTGATAACTCGACCCTGCTTGAACTAATCAACATCACTTACGTCATGATGATGTCAACATCCCGGCCTAACCCGCCGCTCCTGATAACTCGTCACTGAGCCCTTTTCCCTTGGAGTCACGAGTTATCAGGAGTTGGCCTGTCAGTGGTTAGTAGTTCGCTGAATATTTGAGCCACAGATTGATTGTGTAATGGTGAGTGAAAATGCACAAGTCCACAAAAAATGATTAATCATTGGTGCAAGCCGTTTCGCCCACAAAATATACAGTCACTCCACTTTACGGTGTATTCCTTGAAGCGCTTTGAGACGACTCGAAGACGTGATAAGGCGCTACAACAAATGCGAGGATTATTATTAGTATTATTATATCAAATGTAAGGATTCTTCTTGTTATTTAAGCAAGCAACCTTAGGAAGTACTGTGTTGTGTGGATTTCCTTATCACAGATACATCTACGGTGGTTAACGACGATGTGAGAGACCTGCTGCTCTCCCACGTTGTGAAAGGCCAAGCCTTCTCTCGAAACATGTACCATGGGCAGGTGCTTGAAACTATGAACGGCAAACAGCTGAGAGTCTTTGTCTACCGCAATGTAGGTTTGCTTTGGCATCTTTTCCTCTCTATTTAATGTCTCGATTAATTACTGTAAGGGAACGCGATGGCAAAAAGGACTTTGTGTTGGACGTATTGCACAGGGAAGACAAGGTGTTGCTGGAAACAATCGAACCTGGTTGTTGCTGGATAGACTGAACATCTTTGAGAAATTGTACTGTATTGTGGGGTATTTACAAATAAGTCACAGATGTTCTAGAGCCTAATGGATGGTCCACAGCAATGCTGGGTTAGATTGATGTATCTTGGCTTAAGCCAAGGAGTCCTGTAGCTCAGTGGTTAGAGCACTCACCTTGCAAGCGAGAGACCTGGGTTCGATTCCCGGCAGGGGGCGAAACCTTAGGCAAATTTCCTTACTCCACACGCCTGATAATAATCCCTCAAGAGAAAAACCCAATAAAATTAGTCACTTCAATCCACGGCTGTTTGCGTGGGACGCTGCTGCACGCAATTGGCTGCCGCGTTTCGCCCACAAATATACAGTCACTCCACTTTACAGTGTATCCTGTGAAGCGCTTTGAGAAGTCTCGAAGACGTGATAAGGCGCTGTATCAAATGCAAGGATTATTGTTATTATTATTTATTATAAGCGGCAGAACCTGTTGTGTTACGGCAAGAGTTATAATACCCGCCTTCTAAGCAAACTCAAGTGAGATGCCCGACGGGTTTCCCTGTATGATATCGAGTGTGGGATATACCATAGAGCGCACACGTCTTTGAAACAGTCTTTTAAAAATGATTTTGCCAATTTTTCCCTTCAAATTAATTTGATCACGTTCTGGGTATCGTTTTTAAGGCGTTATGCATTGAGAACACTTGCATTGCTGCACACGACAGGACAGGGAGGTATGGCTCGATGCTGATAATGGACAAGGTCCTCACTCCTCCGGTCGGCACAATCATGGACATCCTGAAGGCAGACAATCGCTTCAGGTACGGCGTAAGATACAGCAAGGGGTTGATTTATTTCAGCAGCAAGTTACCGTAGGAACTGCCAGGGATCACCTCTCTGTGTTATGTTTAAAAAGCGTACGATGTTTTAAAGTGGACAAAGGCTGGTGCAGTTTGATATGGAGCAGTGAGATATGGCTTTGTTGCATGTTTCTAATTGGGGTGGGGGGTGGGGGGAGAGTAGATAGCAAAGAACCTGTGTTATTCCCCCTCTTATAAGGAAAAAAAGGATCCGCAACAAAAACATTAAAATGAAATGCCTTGCTGATCACGATTGTGATTATGTGACTGTTATATTATATTGCATCACTATATTATTACTTGGCTCTGAAACTCTGGAACACTCTTCCTCGATCTCTCCACGTTTCCCTTTCTTCCCCACTTCCCGCTCGCGCCTGAAGACCTTCCTCTTCAACCGTGCCTAGGGTCACCTCCCCTTCACCACCCCCCCCCCCCCCCCCACCCGCGACTCTGCCACTGCCAAGCACTCTGGGACGCCAACTTGCGTGAGGGGCCGCCGTGTAAATGCAAGTTGTTGTTGTTGGTTGTGCGATCACTTGAAGGGTTTGTGCAACAAACCTAAAGATTGGGAACATTTTGAATTAGTTTTCCTTTTGATTGTTGCAGCATGCTGGTGGGAGCCATCCAAACAGCAGGACTTACTGAAACCCTCAACAGGCCTGGGACATTCACAATCTTTGCACCGACCAATGAAGCTATCCTCGCTCTGCCTCCGAGAGAACGGAATGTCGTGCTCGGTAAGAGGGGGTTAATTCAGACACTGAACGCCAAACAGTACCTTTGCTTTGATGGGGTGTAAGAGTTCCGACAATGTTCCATTAGGATGTGACCTATTGCTTCATCCAAGTACGTCAAATAACGTCAGGACACACTCAGTAGATAAAATAGGCTTTTTCAGCTTTGCACCGTATCAACTGACATGAACTCCATTGCCACACAGTGTTCACCAGTAGCATTGTGAAGTGTTTCGACATGTTCAGCTCGGGTCCAAATCCCTGACTGTCCAGCGCCAGCCATGAGATGTCCTCCGAGGTGAATCTAAGTTGTTGTTGTTATTGTTCTTGCCTTTCAACAGGCAATCCCAAGTTGCTGAAGTACCATATTGCTGAGCAGATCTTGGTTAGTGGAGGCATTGCCAGCCAGATAGTCCTCTTGAAATCTCTGCAAGGTCCTACCCTAGAAGTGGGGACGGTGAGTACAACAGTGAGCATTTCGCTATCAGCTTTGCCCGGGAGTTTTCTCTACTCCGGTTCGTTCTCTGATTAAGCGTAACTATGACCTGGTTTGTTACAGAAAAAGCAAGTCGTCAACGTCAATAAAGTCCCAGTCATTGAAGTTGACCTGATGGCCACCAATGGTGTGATCCACGCCATTGAAACAGTCCTGCAGCCTCCAAGTAAGTGGCTTGCACACCTTGGCAAGATTAGTTTGCTACATGATGAGATACAGCAATTTTGTTCAACTACAAAATACACACTACACTTAGGAATCGTAGAATCTTACAGCACAGAAGCAGGCCATTCGACCCATCGTGCCTGTGCTGGCTCTTTGGAAGCGCGACCCAATCAGGCCCGCTCTTTCCCCATATCCTTGCAAATTTTTCCTTTTCAAGTACCTATCCAATTCCCTTTTGAAAGTTGTTATTCAATCCGTTTCCACCCAATGCCCCAGGCAGGGCATTGCAGACTTTATTGTAAAATCTCGTCGAGCAATTTGAGACCTCCTCCTGATGTGGAAGGCGCTGTATCAAATGCAAGGATTATTGTTATGATACAGTAGATATCATGTAAATGCAAGTCTTAGTTTTACAAAAACCAATTCATTGTTATACAGGTACAATGCTTCTTACTGAATTGGTTTGTTTGATTTATCAGCCTCCAGGCCATCTGGAAACCAAGATGGGACAGAAGTCAGTAGTGCAGATATCCTTCGCTTTGGACTAAGCCCAGCTCAGGTAGATTACTTCTGTAAATGTGCTGTTGAGAATTATGTTGCACCGATACTGATCTGTTTACTGACTAAAATGTGAATGCATAAAATAGTAAGCTCTTGTGGGAATCCTGTAAATATTTGCATGGAAAGCAATGGCTGATTAGCATTGCATTATTATTATTATAATTATAATTATTATTATTATTATTATTATTATTATTATTATCCCTTCCAATAAACAAAGAAGTAATAATAATTTGGTCACTCAATCCACGACTGTTTGTGGGACGGTGCTGTGTGCAATTGGCTGCTGTGTTTCGCCCACAAAATGTGCAGTCAATTCACTTTACAGTATATTCTGTGAAGAGCTTTGAGATGTCTCGAAGACGTGATAAGGTGCTATATCGAATGTAAGGATTACTATTGTAAAACAACTTTTTTTTGCACTGTAGGTTGGGAAACCTAGAACAAGAAAAGGTATGCAATATATTTTAAAATCATCCATCAAATATTAATGTCTTTCACATCTACGATATATCATTTCACAGCATATTTTTTGCTTATTGATTATTTCATATTACAGCACAGTATGAAGTCAAATAACCAATACAAAATGTTTTACTTCAGTCTCCAGAGATGATATCCTGAAAAGGAACACATACTAAGACAACAAACAGCAGCATTTACCAACTGAAAATCCCTTCAGGAAACTCTTACGTGTCGTTAACGAGAGCTTCTACAATATGTGTCACAGACTTTTCTCACTTGAACGGTTATATCCTAAGCATGTAATTCCATCACTGCCATTTCATATATACTAGCTTGTTTGTAAATTTTATTTTGTTATTAGCAATGACGTTTCGAGAGTTACTGTCCAGTTTTGTGTGCATTTCTAGAATCTTGTGTCGTTTGGGGTCTTGTTTGAAGCTATGACAATGCCACTAGTAGCGTCTGTGGGTTTGAATGATGTGTGTAAGTCACGTAATGACTTATGTGTGTAAGTTCTGACTGCTTGCGTGTTTGTACGAGTTCATGTACACATTTCAGCAGTATATTTCCTCTAGGTTACGAGGGTGCTGAGTACAGCACATGCCAAAGATGAATGTAAACGTACATTTGCCCAAAAAGGATAAAAATGTAATTTTCATACTTCTCGTATTATCCAGTTTTGTGTTCTTCAGTCATACACTCCTAGTTTGTGTTTGGGAGAGCCTAATATTTCATATCAGCATTAAAAGGTTTTGCATGACACAAGGTGCAGTTTTGTTTTGCGATTACACTTTTGCTTTGGTAAAGGATCATTTTAAATACATCCAGATACTTTGGATTTTCATTTTAAATATGTATTTGTCTCCCAAATCTCTTTTTTCTCTGTAATATGTTTATCGAACAATCCTGAGGCAGTATAAAGGTGCAACAAAATAAAAAGGTTCATTTTCTAATCAAGTCTTGAGTTTGTTAATTAATTAAGATAAAACGTGAGCAATTTTACAGTCTTATTGCATTGAAAACATCCGAAAACTCTTTGCAGTAACTTTGCCAAGTCTAGTGACTGCTTTTTGTAGCCGAATGTACCATTTTGAGCACTGCAAGGTCCCAGAAGCAGCCAAAAAGGTTAATAACCAATCTAATTTGTTTTCTAGAACACCAGGAGACCCTCCATTCTCTTCTCAAATAGTGTCACAGGATATTTTCCACTTACCTGAGAGCAGATAGATTAACCTCCGTTTTTAACACCTCATCCAAAGGACGGTACCACTAGCCTAGACCAGGCTGGTCCAATTTCACCCCACCCACCCCACCCCACCCCTCCTTTTCATCTGATCCACCCTCTCCCGTCCAAATCCATAAATGTTATGTTATATTTCTGGAAAGGTAACACAAAACTATCAAGCGCACAAAGTAGGTTTTGTGGCTGAATTATTTATTCTCAAGCAAAATTGTTTCCGTTCATAATTTGACGAATCCAGAACTACCTGAAGTCTGCTTAAGATATCATGGCTGCAATAGCTGCCTGTGTCATATCAACCTTGATTCTGCGTTGACATTAATATCGCACGGTTATCTGTTCTGCAAAGTTTCCGACCCACAGCCATGGAACAGCAGCTCACAAATCCCAAAGACAAAGACAAGCTGGTAATATTATTTTCTAGATTGGAATCTAAAGAGTATTGTTGCAAGCTTTGAGTACATTCAGACGCAGAAGAAATGCTGCAGGCGTTCCATTAAAAACACACAGAAGCCTGACTTAACCTTAATTAAAACAAGGAAGGGACACGGAGAAAAGCGGGTAAATGGAATTGAGATACAGATCAGACACAATCTAAATGACTGGCGGAACAGACTTGAGGAGCTGAATGAACTACTCCTGTTCCTATTTTCAGATGAATATTACGCTTTGCCAGATTGGATTAATATTGTCAGAGTTTTGTTTAATTATCTTCAAATGGTGACAAGAAAGTTAGGCTATTATTTTTTTAAGAGAGCTTTTATAGTCGCTGTCAATTTCTTCCCACTCGGGGTTTTGCATTGATTACTTGAGTTGGGTAAAATCCACAAAAGGGCAAACAGTGCCAGGTTCTGGGGAGAGAAAGGTTTGTTTGGCTGAATATTTATCCTGTAATTTCACATGTTATTATGGGTGTCGTTCTGCTCTGTGCATTCCCAGGGGCGGAAATTTGTTGGTTGTAATTAAATGCTAATTTAGCTCCATTCGGTTAATGTTACAAATTTGTCCACGTGCCTTTGTAATCAACTCAAGTGGAATTTTAGCTGGCCAATTATTTTATTTTATGTCTGGGAAGGAAAGTGAAAATTACGTTCAAGTTACTTATCAAGGACATTTGTAGAAGGAGCTTGCTCCACATTTACAAGTGTCATTTCCCCAAAGTGTCTCTCATATATACTGAGCTCCTATTTATTTCCATTGCCTTAACTTTTCTCAACCGAAGCCTGGTCGGGTGGGCGTTAAACATCCCTTGGCACGATTCTAAAAGAGAATTGTGCCCTGGCCAACCATCCTCCAAATAAAATTGATCACTCACTTCACAGTTGATGGTGGATCTTCGCTGCGAATAAATTAGCTGCTATGTTTGCCGCCTATAAATACACACTGAAAAGGTGCTACAGTAAACACTACGTAAGGGTATCAGTTGGGACCATAAATTTAATATGGTTTATGCAAAGTATGAGTTATGTCAAGCTTGTGTAGAATGTAAACTCTTGAACAAAACTTACGCAGCTTGGTGCAACTTAAGTGATTATACAATTTATACAGATCAGATTTATGCGAGTTTTACTGTATTTCAAATGCAAGAATTATAATTATATACCACCCCTTGATTTTAATAGTCTGAAATCCCAAGTTAGCCCAATGTCCATAGCTATAAGAAGGCAATTCACTGTAATTTTTAAAAAAAAACTTAAATAGTTGATGCAAAGATAGGTTTTCCCATCTTAGTTATTCCCAAATGTTATCCTGATATTATCCCAAATGTTCCCGAGTATAATAATAATAATAATCCTTGCATTTGATACAGCACCTTACCACGTCTTCAAGATGTCTCTATACTATAAAGTGTAGTGACTGTGTATTTTGAGGACGAAACGTGGCAGCCGATTGCGCACAGCAGTGTCCCACCAACAATCGTGGAGTGAGTGGCCAAACTATTGCTTTTTATTTTTTTTTGAACTCGTTGAGAAAGTTTCAGAAACGCCAGAGTCTTCCGAACTAATAATTTACCAAAAGCGACACCAAGTGCACGTGCCAACCACACGCTGCAGAGTAGAGTGTGAACGTCTCCTAAGCCGGGCAAACTTGCGCACAGCAGGAGTAACAACAATATCTCCGCAGGCTGAGTTAAAACCCCACCATCTGTTCCAAGTTACGAGTTGCCTGTTCATTTTACAATGTTTCTGTAATAGACACTTTGAGCTCTCGCAGCTGGTTTGAATCCCCAGCAGATTTCACAGCTTGGAGTTATTCTGCGCTTTGCTTTTCATTGATCGTGACTCTGTTCCATTCTCTGATGTTAAATTAATGTTTATTCCATTTTGAGACGAGCTTATTGTACGTTGTCCATTGGTTAGGCATCTAATTACAGTTCGATTCTATTGTTATACAACATGCCCGAAATAATAGAAACATTGCACAAAACCAAACAATTTTGTAAAAAGAAAACTGACAAAATGCTTTTCAATTTAAGGAGTGAATATGTGTGAGGATGTTGGAAGCAATTCGGAAGGGAATAACATCAAATTAAAATGTCTCAGAGCTTTACACTAATTACTGTCAAGTGTAGGGACTGAATTTTGAAGGCAAATTTAGCAGCGGATTTTGTATACAGCAAGAGGTGAATAACTAACTTCAGCTGCAGAATTTTTGGCCAGGACATTGGGAGAAACTCCCTTTTTGTTTCGAATTGTGTTATGGCATCTCTGACATCCATCTGAAAAGCCAGGCAACCAATTGCGCACAGCAGCGTCCCACAAACAGTTCGTGGATTGAGTGACCAGATAATTTTTATTTCTTTCGAAGGAATTATTACCCCTGGAAAAGAGATCCGCCAATCGACTAACAAGCGGGTTCGTACTTACTGCTTGGTAAACGGAGGCAGGTGAAGTAAGGAAACTTGCCCAATGTTTCGCCCTGCCCGGGAATCAAACCCAGATCCTCGGCCTGACAAGGCGAGTGCTCTAACCACTAAGGTACGAGACTCCACAGACGCTAAGCATCAGGGTGAAACACAGGGTAAGGAGATATATATATATACGGTGAGCATGGCGTCTGAAGGCAACAAAGCAAGCCCAGCTTCTACTAATCTGCCATTTACTAGTCAGGCTGAATGACTCCCATGTCCGCCTTTGGGTAGCTCTTCCTTATTTGGTGTTTGCTAGGTGACAAGAGCTGGTTAATCCCACTAACTAGGCAGTCGGAGGGCCCCTCACATGTCAGTCCATGACATCGCTGCTTCCCACTTGCTGGAAGTTTTTTTTTTTAAGTGAACATGTCCACCTCTCCCAGAATATGGAGCACAAAAAAATATCAAGCTGACGATGAACTCTTTCAATGTCTGGCTCCTGGAATTTCTGGCCTGAATTGATTGCAAATGCACAGCAATGTCCCACAAGCAGCTGTGGAATGAATGATCAATTTTATCTGGGGAATTGTTGGCTAACTCACTTCTCTTCTTAAATATGTCACGGGATCTTAACATCCACTGGACAGTCACAGTCAGATGTGTAAGGAAGGCTTCGTTCTGAGCGAGACATTGTTAGGTACGTATTTACTACAGAAAATATTCTAAGTTAATAGAGGACACCAGCAGCAACTCTATAATTGGTCCTACAACCATAGAAATGTATAGCATAGAATAATAATAATGATTCCTGCATTTGATATAGCGCCTTGTCACGTCTTTGAGACGTCTCAAAGCGCTTCACAAAATATACTGTAAAGTGAATTGACTGCATGTTTTGTAGGCAAAACACAGCAGCCAATTGCGCACAGCAGCGTCCCCACAAACGGTCTTGGATTGGGTGACCAATTTATTATTTTACTTTTTTTTTGAAGGGATTATTCCACCGGAAAAGCGAACCAGGTACCTACTTACTGCTCGGTAAACAGAGGCGTGTGGAGTAAGGACACTTGCCCAACATTTCGCCCTGCCTGGGAATCGAACCTGGGTCCTCTCGCTCGCAAAGCAAGTGCTCTAACTACTGAGCTACAGGACTCCAATAAGGCCACTTGGCCCATTGCCTCCTGCATTGCATCTGAGAGAACTGTGACATGAGGAAAACCGACAGCATAATTTCTCTCCTCCATACATTAATAAGCACCAAATGCAAACAGAAAAATGCACATAAAACATAAAGCTGGAGCTCAATTTCAATATCCTTCATGGCAAAGTGCCCTCATCCCTCAAGATTGAACCTCCTTTCTCGGTATAAAATCTTCTTTATGAGTACCATATATAGAGTGTTGCAGCACAGAAACAGGCTATTAGCCTAACTGCTCCATGTTGTGCTTTGGCTCTGGAACTCTAACCCCCAGTGCCTTCGCCGCCTCCTCCCTTTCCTCCTTCAAAGCCGGTCTCAAGTCCTTTCTCTTCGACCGAGCCTTCAGCTCCCCTCTCGACTCTCTACCCCCTCCTCGCTCCTTCCCTTCCCTCCCCTCACCCTGACCATTTCCCCCCAATGCTCGGGTCCTGACCCAACTGTCCAGCGCCTTGGGACGGCCTCCCGACGTGAAAGGCGCTCTATAAATGAAATCTTGTTATTGTTGTTGTTGTTGTACTCAACCCAAGCCTCCAACCCTCCTGTTCCTATAATGTCCTTAATATCTGGACCTTGGTTGAATTGAACAGATTGTACTAATGATTCAGTCAAATGTCTACTTCAGTGATAAATTATATCAATACAGGCCTTCTTTTTAAGTGTCAGTTCAA